TGTTTGTGTAATCTTTTCCTTCGAAAGGGCTTGGATGTTGGAAATCTTCATCATCAGGATGGAAAAACAAAATTTCATTAGAAGTTCAACTTGAGCACCCATATAATGAAAAGAGAATAAACTTTTTGTTTGTAGACCGCACACTGTCATAAAACTTGTTCTATTTTCTTATTCCACAGTTTATTAATAAGACTGTACTATTTCATAATCATAATCACTACTTTTGCAAAATAATAAAAAAATTAATTAAAAAATATGTATTTAGATAGAAAGATATACCATATGTGCAAGTTATGTGCCAAAATTGATATCAAATCAAAAAGATTGTTGTTATCTGTTCTAAAAGCAAAAGCCATTTGGTACTCTTGTAGGGAGTTTGTTGTCTTCAAGATATTTTGCTAAGTGCATACTTCATTTCCATTGTGTAAATTTTTTAGTTAACTCATTAATTATTTGCTATTTTAAATATTGTATTCCAATTATTTTATCCAACATTGCATTTTTATTGCACTCACATGACATTACATCAATTCTAATAGTTCACAAAAATTATGAAAAATTACCAACTTTTCTGATGTAAGTAGGGATGGCAAAAAAGCTCGAGGGCTCGGGCCGCTCGTGGCTTGGCCCGCAAAAAGCTCGAGCCCGCTCGGCTCTAGGGTCGGTCAAACCGAGCCTAGGCTCGGGCCGAGCCCCATCTTGGGGTGCCGGGCCGAGCCCGAGCCGGCTCGCCAAAAAAAAAAAAAAAAAAAAAAAAAAAAAAGTAATTTTAATTTTTAAATCGTGAATTTTTTATATAAAAAATTTTTATATATAAAAAACTAAGTAAAAAATTTAACGGCCATGCTAACGGTACATCGGGGTGTACATCACGGTGTACACCCCCCTCACATGGGTGGGGGGTCCACTCGAATATTTTATTCGAGTGGGTCCCCCCATGTGAGAGGATGTACACCTTGATGTACAAAAGTTGATGTACCACTAGCATTTTTCAAAGATTAATTGCTGCCAGACGCTTGTCACCTTTACCGAGAACATGGAGTAGGAGATTAAATGTATGAAAATCAGGGGAAAATCCATTCCTTCCCATTTCATCAAGTAATCCGTGAAACTGATCTAGCTTCCCCAACCTAAACTTTGCAGACATAATGATATTATGAGTTTAACATGTCTGGGAAATGACCTGCTACTAACATCTGCGGATACACCCACTCAATCAACTTATATTGATAAACTAAGAGCATGTAAATTGCATTAAATGAATTCTTAAACGGCGTATAATTAAATATCTTTGACTTAGCCCCTGTTTGATTTTTATTTTTGGGATAAAAATGAATTATGGAATAGTAGTTTTTTGGAGAATGTGTTGTTAAAAAGTAAGAAAAAGTTTTTGAAATTCGTGTATAATTATTTTATAGAAGAATGTGTGGTTGAAAATGAGTTTTAAAAAAAATGCATTCTTGAAAAAATGCTTTGTAAAGGCAGCTATCAACTACATTTTAAGGGGAAAAAAAAGTGGGAAAAAACGAGCCGGCTCGGCTCGGCCCCGGCCCGTTTTGGCTCGGTAAGGCCCGAGCCTTGATTTTTTGGCCGAGCTTTTACTTGGCTCGGCTCGGGCCAAAAAAAGCCCGTCTTTAAAAAGCTCGAGCCGAGCCCGAGCCTTGATTTTCGGCTCGCGAATCGGCTCGGCTCTGCTCGTTGCCATCCCTAGATGTAAGGGTTGTTAAGAACAAAATAAAAATGCTCAACAGTTCTGGGAATGACTTACATCTTATTAAACAATCTTGGGCTTATAAATAGCCTTCTACAAACTTAACAGAATGAGACAATTTAGCTCACGTTTCTCAATGTGATGAGTGCAACTAGAAATAAGGAAACACCACTCAAGTACCCTAAAGACTAGGACTTATTCAAACAGAATACAAAGACTTTCTCTTCATTCCCTCCTTTAAACTAGTTACAAACTTCAACTAGTTTAATTTAGGAACTTGACAAACTCCCAACTAATGTCGAAACCTCTGAAATGCATCCACTGTGAGAGGCTATGTCATCACATCTGCCAGCTGATCATGTGTTTCACAATAAACCAATTCAACTACTCCTTCTCGTGTGAGATCACGAAGAAAATGAAAACGCACATCAATGTGCTTGCTTGGACCATGTAACGCAGGATTTTTTGACAACTTAATTGTGGAACTGTTATCACAAATAATTGTAGTACACTTACTTTCTTCCCGACTCAGCTTCTCAATTATTCTCTTCATCCAAACAGCTTGACTAGGCAACATCTCCAGATCCCAACATGAAAACATAACCTGATGTACTTTTCATGTCTTCTATATCTCCTACATAGTCACTATCTGCATATCCAACCAAATCCTCACACCCTCCCTTCTTGTAGAAAACTCCAAGTCCAATAGTTCCTTTCAAGTACCTCAGTATCCTCTTAGCTGCCATCAGATGTAACTCAGTTGGTTTGGCCATGTACCTGCTAAGCAAGCTTACTGGAAACATCAAATCTGGCCTTGTAATTGTTAAGTACATGAGGCATCCCACCATTTGCTTAAACAAAGTCTCATCAACACAAACCCCATTCTCATCTTTAAAAAGCTTACAACCTGGAACAATGGGATTATGAACTGAGTTGCCGTTCTCCATCCTTAACCTCTTCAACACCTCCAAAGCATACTTCCTCTGACAAATATAGATCCCATCTGACCTCTGCAAAACTTCTATGCCAAGAAAAAACCTCATTCTCCCCAAATCAGTCATGTCAAACTCCCTCAACATGGAATTCTTAAACTCAACAAACATCAATTCATCATTGCCAGTAAATATTAAATCATCAACATATAAACTGACAATGAGAATCTTACCTCCCTTATTCGTTTTAATGAACAAAGTATGCTCACTATAACACTTCTCGAACCCTTCACTTATGAAATGTGCTTCAATACGACTGAACCAAGCTCTTGGAGCTTGTTTCAGTCCATATAGGGCTTTCTTCAACCTGTAAACTTTCTGAGGACTATTCTCCAGCTCATAACCCTTTGGCTGCTCTACATACACTTCTTAATTAAGTTCCCCATGCAAAAAAGTGGATTTGACATCAAGTTGATAGAGAGTCCACCCTTTTTGAGCTGCTAGAGCCACAATCATTCTCAATGTGTCCATTCGCACAACTGGTGCAAATATTTCTGTGTAGTCTATCCCTTGTTGTTGCACATACCCCTTTGCCACCAAACGAGCCTTTAAATTGTCCATTTCTCCATTCTCCTTGAGTTTGGTTTTATAAACCCACTTCACTCCTATCTTCTTTGTACCTTTAGGAAGATCAGTGAGTTCCCATGTGTTGTTCCTCTCTATAGCATGTATCTCCATGTCCATAGCTGTCCTCCATTTGTCATGCTTCTCTTCCTCCTCAAAATGCACTGGATCCGCTAAAGCAAATAGAGCCAAATTGACATTTGCATCTTCTTCTTCCGACTCCTCTGAAAGTCCTTCCCCAGTTATATAATCTCTCATCCACCCTGGACGCCCTCTGCTTCTTCCTACTGCAAAACTAAATGATTCTCCTCCATTTTCACCATTTTGAGGACTACCAACCGGTTCAGCGACTTCTTCTTCTTCACTCACTGCTCCCTCATTCCCTACATTCACTGCCTCATTATCTTCATGATCCCATTCCAAATCAACCATTATGTGCTCTTCATAAATGCTATCCTAGCTCCAAGAATTATCTTCCTCAAACACTACATCTTTGTTGACTACAATCTTCCTTACAACTAGATCATAGAGTCTATATGCCTTAGACTCTTCACTTACTTCCAATAACGCACAAACAATGCTCTTTGCATCTAGCTTTCTCCTTCTCACATCAGGAACATGCACATGCGCCACACATCCGAAAACTCGAAAGTACTCAACCGAGGGTCTACTTCCACTCCAGGCTTCCTCAGGTGTTTAATTCTTCACAGCTGATGTAGGACTCTGATTCAAAACATGTATTGTCCAGTTCACCGCCTCCGGCCAGAAAGTCTTCGAAATCTTCCTTTTAGAAAGCATGCATCGAACCATGTTCATCACAGTTCGATTTTTCCTTTCTGCTACTCCGTTCTGCTGTGGAGTATATCCTACAGTCAATTGCCTCTTGATGCCATGCTCTGTGCAGAACTCATTGAACTCGAGTGATGTAAATTCTTCTCCTCAATCTGTTCTCAAACATTTAATATATCCTCCTACTTCTTTCTCAACACAATTCTTAAAACGTTTGAACATGTTTAATGCTTCAGATTTCTCTACTAAAAAATAAGTCCAAATGAAGCATATAATGTACCTCTTCTTACTGTTAGAGGTGGGAGAGATTGGTCCGCAGAGATCAGCATGAACAAGCTAGAGCTTTTCTGTGGCCCTCCAATTGCTCTTCTTTGGGATTGGATATCTGTGTTGTTTTCCAATCATGCAGTTTGGACACACTGTTGTTGTAGTCTTGAACTGAGGTAACCCATGCACCATCTTCTTAAACTGGAGAGTCCTCAACCCCTTGTAGCTCAAATGTCTATAGCGACAATGCCATAAATGTGACATATCCTGTGTGGAGGTGTAGAGGCAAGCTGGCTTATGTGATAGTGATTTTTCCAGCAACACAAACTTCCGATTTGCTGACATCTCGGTCTGTATTATGAGTCCTTTCTCTGGATGATAAATCCTGAGCATTCCATGTTGAATGAGAATCGCCAACCCTTTTTCTTGTAGTTGACCAATGCTCAACAGATTGTTTTTTAGTTCATGCACAAAAAATACTTCCCTAACAACATGTGTAAAGCCACTTACTTTCAATCTCACATTGCCTTTTCCTAACACATCCATCCTCGTGTTATTTCCCAGCTTTACCTTCTGCCTGAAGCCCTCATTTAAATCAGTGAACAAACTCTTGTCACCACACATGTGGTTGCTACATCCAGAGTCTAAGAACTAGACATCTCCCCTTCGAGCATTGTTCATCTCCACATATTACATGAGCAACACTCTTCTTCTTCCCCTAGTTCAGCATAGTTGGCTTCCTTATCCCAGCTTGGACAATCAGATTGAAAGTGTCCAAGCTTATGGCATTTAAAGCATTCCACTGTTGCTTTGTTGTAAGGTTGGCATCTCCATCTTCCTCTGCATTTGTACACACCTCGACCCCGTCCTCTTGCACCAAATTTGTCTTCATAACTGATCTTGAGTGCTTGTTCTTCTCCTGTATGTCGCTGGAATTTTTGTTCATGAACAATCAGAGAACTCTGTAGCTCATTAATGGAGAGTTGATCGATGCCTTTGGACTCCTCAATCGAGCAAACAACATAATTGAACTTCTCACTCAATGATCTGAGAATTTTCTCCACCACTGTGACATCTTGCATCTGTTCCCCATATGTTCTCATCTCGTTGGCCACTAACAACACTCTCGAAAAATACTCAGAGACTCCTTCTCCAGTCTTCATCTCTAGGATTTCAAACTCTCTGCGGAGAGCTTGTAGATGTGACCTCTTGACCCTAGCACTCCCTTCAAACTTCTTCTTCATAGACTCCCAAATTTGTTTGGAAGTTGTCTTCACAAGAATGGTCTCCAATATCGTCCGATCTATGGCCTGAAAGAGAAAGTTTTTCACTTTCAGATCATTAAGTTTCAATTTTTCTATAGTCTTCCGCTGTGCTTCTATCTGCACAGATCCATTTGCTAGCTCCTAATAGCCAGTCTCCACCAACCCCCATAATTCCTTAGATCGCAGGAAATTCTCCATCAACATGCTCCAATGGTCATAGTGACCATCAAAGCGAGGAATGGATGGCTGCACAAAACTCCCTTCGGTAGTCATCTTCTCTGCTGCTGCAAGAACGTCAAAGACTTTGCTGCTTTGATTTTGTCAAGCCCAGTGGTGGCTCTAATACCAGAAATGTTAAGAACAAAATAAAAATACTCAATAGTTCTTGGAATGACTTACATCTTATTAAACAATCTTGGGCTTATAAATAGCCTTCTACAGACTTAACAGAATGAGACAATTTAGCTCACGTTTCTCAACATGATGAGTGCAACTAGAAATCAGGAAACACCACTCAGGCACCCTTAAGACTAGGACTTATTCAAACAGAATACAAAGACTTTCTCTTCAAGGGTAAAGGGTTTGAAATACATACCTTACACGTTGCGGGCTCTCTTTGCATTGGCTTGCCATTCTTGCCACTTCTTGTAGTCAGAATCAACACTAATATTTGAAAGTCTGGTTGTAAACAACAGTTTGATCAACAAATAAATGACTAATACTTGATCTATGCGTGTGTATGTGTGTATGCATATGTACATATACTAAGTAAAGAAGAAAGATTATACTTGTACAATCCAAGGTAAAGAAGAATACTACTCACGAATTTTTTTATTCTCATCTTTCTAGTGTGAACAAATATGAGAGTGAGTGTGCATATTTATGCGCTTACATAAGGTGGGAAGAAAGATGATACCTAGATACTTCATGGTACATGGAGTGATGGGCTATTCACAATGCTTTTGTCTATCCCTACTGGATTTGTGTGCAAGTGTGTGTGTTCATGTGTGTGCGAATATGCACAAATACATAGTGAAAAAGAAAGAAAATACTTACACTTTATGGTCAGGAATGATGCTACTCTTAACATTTGTATCCTTCCTACAGGTGGACAAATTTTAAAAATAAAAATAAGAATAATAATTAAACAAAAAAATCGTATATATGTATGGGAACTTGTGAATTATAAAAGTATCAAAAATATACTTAAAAACAACCATAAAATGAAGATGTGCCTATGTGTTGAAACTTAGACTACTTGAACTGTCAGCATAGGGATGTTTCCGAGTCAATGCTTGCTCTTCTTCCCCGATAAGGGTTGAGCTAGACCTACCACAAATTTTTTGAAGTGTACAAGAAACACATTTAAATTGTATTATAATCAAATGATTTAGAAAATAAAGAAGACTTGAACAATTAATTAAATCCTTCATAGTCAATTCTGACTTAAAACGAAAAGGGACTTACCTATTTAAATCTGGCAATGGACAAGAATTGTAGTCATGAGAGTTGGGAACTCTAGAGTTGGCACTGTCTCTGGTTATATTTCTACTACTATCTTTAACCATTGAGCAGTAGTTTCTACCCATTGTCACTATATGTGACAATGAGTAGTCATCTCCCATCTGTTCAAGATTTTGCACAAAAGGTTTTGAAAGATTTTGAATCGAAGTCTCAATTAGAGAAGGGTTGTGGATAGGTTCAATTGAAATGCAAGATTCTATAAAACTATTTGTAAAATTTAAAGAATCGAAATTTTCAAATGCATTCTGTGAATACATTTGAGGTTGCATTTGATGTGTCTCATTTGGTTCATCATGGTCAAGGTTGATAATGTAGTTTTCATTGAAGTAAGTTCGATTTTGCAAGGAAAAAGATGAACTAGGGTGGGAATGTGAAGGCCTCATTCTTGCAGTTGCAGCTTAAGCAGAACCTGTAAGAACTAAATCAATTAACAAATCATAGAATTGCAACAATTGAATTCATATTTGTGCACATATTCTGCACGTGCAAGTAAAAACCTCTATAACTTCTTTTGAATATGATTTCCAATGATGGTAAATAAAATGGAATGTACTACTTGTATATAATGTGGTATTCATAACGATGTTTACCCTCCTCATGTGGAAGATGCTCCACTTTGAATAAATTATATTTTATTCAACCCCCTCTATGTGAGAGTGGTGGATACAGTTATAGGTATAACACATTGATATACGTGTAGTATAACCCCAACAAAATAGATAACGATATTTAGCGTGGTTCAATAAAAACCTAATCAAAAAGTAAAACTAATTTACAATGGATAAATCAAACTATCAATTCATGGACTAGCCATCATAGTAAACTTGAAATTCACTAGGAACTTGAAGATTATACTTCTCCATGAACCCGTTAAGGTTGTAAACCTCATTTTAAGTTCTCATATTCAATATAAGCTACATTTTAGTCATATCTTAGCATAGTCATACCAAGAAGATCATACCAAAAAGAAAAAAAGATGAAATAATTTCGTCTATGAATTAAACTAGTATTTTGTAGCAACAATATATAAAACATTCTTATTGCCATACATATATGAATTAATTCTCTTTATTTTGTACAGCCATTGAACATAAACAAAAATATATAATTACACTAGATCAGGTGCAAATGATTTATCCCCCTACATTTTTAATCCACCAATTTCGATTGATAGACATCAACATGGACAAATTCACAGTACAGTTGGTAGATAGTGTTGTCTAATTTTACATATTGTTGTCAAATATATAAGGGAAATTTACAAAAATGTCACGAAAAATAAAAGTTTCAAAAAATTTGTCATTTTCACTTTATATGAGCAAAAATGTCACTTTTTTAGGGTGAAAAGTCCATATTACCCTTAATGACACATTTTTAGTAGCATTTAATGCTTGATTTGAAGGAAAAGTATTGATTTGATGTGATGATTTAATTTTTGTATAGAAAACATGGATAAATGTGTATTTTATTGAATAATATGAATTTTTGTTAATAAAAAAGGGTAAAAGAAATTTTAAAATGAAACATAAATTACAAACCCTAACTTTTCTCTATCTTTTTCATTTTCATTGATCAAGAAGACATTTTTGTTACATTCTTCATCCATTTTGAGAGGTTAGTAATTACAAATTATTTATATTTTACTCTTATAACTTTTTGTTTTGTAAATGTTAAATACAACATGAGCATACTTATTTGAAATTTTTGAAACTATTATGCATTGATTTTTTGTTTTGGAGTCCTTCACAAAATATTATTGTCAACATTAAGGTTTTGAGTAATTTCTTCGAATCAAACCAAATACTGTTTTCATTAAATGTCTTTTTAATGACAAGGCCAATCTGACTTATTCATTTTGTCATTTGGTAACTCAATAGTAATGACCACACTTAATGTGTTGTGCTGTGCTGAAGAAGCCTGAGTTCTACCCACTGCCGTCTGCTTCCCGACATTTTTGATAGTTTAACAGTCGAGTTTGATATTTACAAACCGTCGGGTTAGACGTTTGAAATGTCGAACCCGACATTTACAAACTATCGGGATATATAGTTTTACTGTCAATTTGGACACTTCAAAACGATGGAAACCCTTGATTTGACCTTTTGCTATTATACGGATTTACGTATTATGCAGTGCCACTTTCATGTTATTAAATGCCAACATATTGATTTTGAATTCTTATCATTGTAATCCCAACATTTCAGGTATTAGTAATAATTTGAGATTCATGGTTCTCAACGCTTACCTCCTCCTTGTCCGAGAATAAAACGATGGGAAATTCAGCGGATGAACCCAGTATCAGTGGATGCATATTGAGTTGAATGGTTCATTGCTGGAAGTGGATGAACTCATTGTCTCGTATCAACTAACTGTTTCAATACGGGAGTCTCACAACAACGTCTCTAGTCTTTCAAGGGGTAGTTTATGAACATGAAGTCCTGCACTAGTATTTATAATTGGCCAAAGAGGATGGTTAATTAAGGTCAATTAGTTCCCAACTACCAACTTATTTTCATCACATCTCAAATTTAATTTGATAGACAATTGGTGTGATGCCTTGAATATCTAAGTGTACTTGTATTAGTCAGACTTATAATTTGCAAAAAATGATAAACTTACAATCTCTATAATTTCCATTTATAAACTAAGACATTTGCATTGGTCAAACTTATAATTTCCATTTTCCCAAAGCGAGAAACTTATAAAATGTACCAATTCTCTCATTTTTCGAAAGTGAGAAACTTAGAAAATGCACCAATTCCATTTTTCAATTGCATAACATCTCGACATGTTCAACTGTTAGTCCCGACAGATGTTTTATTAATTCTCAACAGGTGACGAAAACGTGCACAGCATTAAAGATCAGGTTAACGTAAATGGTAAACTGCAGAAGAAATAAAGAATAATAAACATAAGGAAAAATTTATACCACAATATCTTTGATATAATATAATTAATCTTCCAACTCTACGGTCGTTCAAAATACTTGAAGAGAGGAAGCAAAACCTTGTATCTTTTTCTTGTCCACTTAAAAATGTTTTTTTCACTCCCCACCAAATAAATTCTAATTTGCAACATTGTAAATAGTAGACTCAATTGACAGCGCATGATAAACACCATTTCGTAACATCCGCTCAACCTTTGGTGTTCCCCATCAAATTATTGACTTACATTATTATATTCAAATTACATCGTCATTACCATTTCTGATTCGTTTACAGACAAAGAAATACATGTTCAACTTTACAAGCAAAATACAAATCCATTTACAACATACTGTATTACAACCCGACAGTTCATATGTCGTACCCGACAGATTGTCTTTGTTATTCTTGACAGTTGGACCGGAGTACATAAAATACACTACTTGGATTATAACGTTAGGGCAATTACATCAAACTGCCTTCTTTGAACACTTAACATCCAACTGAAAATTTTCATCAAACGCCAAACCA